ATGGAGAGAATATGGTGGGACATCCTGGACTGGAGGGGAGGAGAAAGAAGCGAGTAGGAGGTGTCAGAGAGGAGAGATTGGGAGGAAAGGACTGGAAACTACCAAGAAAGGCGAACTGGACCTAAGATATGACTTAAAGCAAGCGTAATGTGGGAAATCTGAATGGGAAGAAACTATGTGGGCTTGGATGTTTGGAATGACTATTGCCCAACATTCTGCTCTAGGTTAATAAATCCCAGTCTCTATGTGGTGATTTGGGTGTACATCTGGTTTAGGAATAACCACTGTTTAACTAAAAGATAAATCAATAATAAATATTAATATTCAACAACACAAGACGGACAGGAGTGAGGTGTTCGGTGGAACATAATGTCATCCTCAGTTCCCTCTATCCTTGACATTGACAGGTTACCCCACGGACCTCCACCTGCCATTCCCAGAGCAGCTCCAGAGCAGTGCTGAGCACATGCAGATAGACGGGGGGCATGAGACGGAACCCCTGGCCCAAGTATGGCGAGAAAAGGCTGGGGGCATTCAGGCTGCTTCAAATCTGTCTGCTGTGGAGAAGAGAAAGTTGAGGACCATTTTCTGTTTTCAGATGTAGAGAAGGTGGGCACTAGGGAACCCCAATCCCAGCTAAAAAGTAACTGCCTTTACTAGCTTCTACGGTAGGACCAAAAGCCCCCTGCCTTCCCCCAAGGAGTGTCTCATGGTAGGCAACTGAGACAGGGAGGGCTATGCACCAGCTGAAGTGGCTTGGGGAGAATGGGAGACGAGTTGGCATCTGCCTCTGAGATGATGAGTAGGCCTACCCATACAGACCCTCTTCTAAGCCCACAATGGGAGCCTAGGGATGGTGTGGAGGGGAATATGAGGGAGGGGAATAGGGCTGGCTGTGTCATCCACTGGGTTGCTTCCCCAGACCCTGCCCCAAGCCATGTTCTTCTAACCACTCTGGACAGCCTCTGCCAGCTCTAAGCAAACCAGGGCCTTAAATAGCTACCCTGATGATAGAGTCCTTTGGAATAACTAAGGGAAACTAAAGAAACCTAGAGGTGGCCATAACACCCCCGAAATATGAAGGTGTGTCGGCATTTAGGGGCAATGTCCTTGCTCAACTTGAGGAAGAGCTCACACCTACTCAGAGAAGTATGTCTTGGAAGCCCTCTTCGTCAATGGAGCTGTCTCTGTATCCATGAGCATGCCGGCCTGGGAGTCGACACCGCGCTTATTGCACTGCTAGTGGCCAAGCTTCTCCCCAACTCCCACCCTTACCCCGACACCTGGCTCTGCTTCATCAAAGCCACATGTGTCATCCTGTGCCAGCTGTGTGAGGGGTTCCCAGAGAGCAAAGGCAGACTCACCTCCTACAACTTCCAGATCTGGGTCTGCTCAAAACTGGAAAGACATTGGGGGGTGCACTCAGGGTATGCAGTGCTGGTTCCCTCTTCCTGGTCTTCCTGCTGTCTTGAGAAGCAGGAGTGCCAAGGCTGAAGGCTTTGGGGTAACTAGGGGAACATTCGGGGACAGCCCATGTTTGGGGAGACTTAACTCACAGGATGGGGGAACTGTGGGCGCTGCAGTGTCCGAGCAGCCCACTCTGTCCAGTCCTAGAGGGCATCAGGGTTAAATAGACTCTAAGGATGCACTCATGCCTGGCATCCAGCTTTCTGGAGGCCCAGCCCCTCCCTCTTTCTAGGTTGTCACTGTGGCAGTTGTGGGCATGTAGCTAGAGATACCCACAACCATTCTATGTGTCCACATGCACAGACATCCACGTTTAACTGCTTTTGGATGCCCCTGCCAAGCACCTCCCTGTCACCACCTGCTCACCATGCCTGAGTCTTGCCTGCCCAGGATCCAGCTCCGGCCTGTCTTAAGATGCTCCCTGGTCCCCTTAGACAGCTCAGATTTTGGTTGCCACTTCCTACAAGGACAGGATGAGGATGCCATAGCAGGGGACTGGACGATGCAGACCGAGCCTAGGTAGCCTGGTGGTAACCCGGAGACTCCTCTCAGCCCACGCACTAGAACGTTTTATTCTGCCACAGATGCTAAGGCCTGCGCCACCTTACTGGCCAAAGGCTGGGGGTCTTTGTCCTCTAGGTGGCTTACCTCTGCCAGAGTAGCAGAAACCATAGGTGCTGAGGATAGAGCACTATCTTTTCAAGACCAGTAGAGGTGCTGTGAATGCTGTATAGCCCAAGAAAGAATTTGTGTGTGTGTGTGTGGGGGGGGGGTGCTGTTTTGTTTTGGAGACAGGGTTTCTCTGTATATCCCTGGCTGACCTGGAACTCATCTTGTAGACCAGGCTGGCCTTAAACTCACAGATTTACCTGCCTCTGCCTCCTGAGTGCTGGGATTAAAGCCTGGCAAGAATTTATGTTTTGCTCTGTGTGTATCAAGATTTTCTTTCTTTTAAAAGATATATTTATTATTTATACAGCATTCTGCCTGCACACCAGAAGAGTGCACCAGATCTCACTATAGATGGTTGTGAGCCAGCATGTGGTTTCTGGGAATTGAAGTCAGGACCTTTGGAAGAACAGCCAGCGTTCTTAACCTCTGAGCCATCCCTCCAGCTCTGTATCAAACTTTTCAAGGGACTAATTTTATTTCCTGATTAAATGGCGGTGGTGGGAGGGACCTATCCTGACACTACTGCTGGCCCTTGTACCTACTACCCTGGTACATTTCTTTTTTTTTTTTTTTTCGGGGGTGGGGGCGATGAAGTTCAAGACAAGGTTTCTCTGTGTTGCCTTGGCTGTCCTGGACTCACTCTGTAGACCAGGCTGGCCTCAAACCCACAGAGATCCACCTGCCTCTGCCTCCCTGAGTGCTGGGACCAGAGGTGTGCACCACACGCCCGGCTGCTGGGACATTCCTAAACCACGACATCTTCTATAGTGCGCACCATCAGAGGTCCTGTCCCCCAAGGTCGTAGCCTCAGTTAGAGACGTTACCTCAGACCACAAGGGGAATTACCAGAGGTGTGTTTGTCCAGATGTGGGAATTATCACTGAGAGTAAAGGGCCTCAGTTGGGCTTAGTTGGGTAGTAATCTCTGAATGTGAAAGGACTATGAGAGCCCAGGGAGGTTTAGTGCTGAGCCTGAGCACAGCACTAAAGATAGCCTGACATGGGGCACGTTTAGATTCTGCACACAGCTGTCCCCAACAGGTTCAGAGTCTTCCCAGTGGTGTTCTGAGCTATGTGGAACCTCAACCACTTCTGTTGCCCCACAAATGGCCCTGAGCCAAAGCAGATGCCAGGCCATTCCCGTGTATGCTTGTACACTGTATGCCTCCTCTGCCTCCACTCTTCCATGTAGCTTCTGTGTACCCAGCCCTCAACCCATAGTCCTCTGGAGTCCCAGAGACACTTTCAATTTTGTAGCTTAAGCTGCTGAGGAGTTTAAGATCTGGTGAGGGAAACCTGTTTGGTCACCAAAGGTTAGCAAGAGCAAAAAAGGGAGGGGCTCAGGGTGCAGATGGCCATGAGGGGTGAGGAAACTTACTGGGTGCCTTGGAGGTCAGCATGACTTTGCAGCTTCCTCGGAGAGCAATGAGTTGGAAGGAGGGCAGAATCTGCCTCTCTTACCCAGGCTCAGGTAGGGATGGGGTTGGGAAACTGAAGATCAGACTTATCAAAGGCAAGAAAAGAGTATGCTGCACCTGTGGCATATGGTCTGGGCATTTCTATTCCACATTTAGGGAACTTTCGAGGATTCTCACAGAGGAGCCCAGGGCTTGGACTCCAGACCAAATGCAGGCAGTTCCAGGCCCTCGGCCAGGGGCTCCTCTTCGAACTTCCCAGGATAGCTGAGCACCTTTGTGAGCTCTGTAGTTTTCCCTGCTGCATTTTATCCACTTTATAGTCTTAGCTATGTTCTCTTTACAAGTATGTACTCACTGAAGAGTCACGTAAAGACACCGCGTCCCTATGGACTGTGCACCTGTCCAAGCCCTGGTGCGATGAAAACCTGAGGGGGCTGGCTCACAGACAGCCGTAGGGAGATTTCAAGTCACTAACTGGGCATGGGGGCAAAGCCAGCCGATGGGTGACAACCTTACCATGCCTGACTTGCACAAAGGTGGCATGCCGACAGTGGACATGGCTATTAATCACCTTATCTGCTGCTTGCCCCAACCCTGGACAATTTCTGTCTAGGCCAGTAATTCTCAACCTTCCTAATGCAGTGGACCTTAATACAGTTCCTTATGTGACCCCAAACTATAAAGTTATTTTTATTGCTGCTTTATAATTGTAATTTTGCTACTGCTGTAAGTCATAATATAAACACATTTAGAAACAGAGGTTTGCCAAAGGGAGCACGACCCACAGGTTGAGACCTGCTGGTGTGGGCAGACAGGGCTGCTAGAGAGACACCCATTCCGGGGACAGGGCCGCTAGAGAGATACCCACTCTGGGGACAGGGCCTGCAGAAAGACAGTTTGGCAGTCTGGGTGCTCCATGGTCCGTCCCCACGCAGAAGGGGTAACTAGGGTTCTGGACTTGGGGTCCCGAGAGTATGGGCAGGAGACACAGGGGTTGGCCCCATTTGGACGACCATCACTTGTAAGTCCCCAAACCTCCTGAGGTGGAAGTTATGAGCTCTGGGGCGAGAAAACGCGGGCCAGAAGATAAATGCGTTGCGGGAAAAGCCTCGAAGGTTGTCGACCCCGTAGGAAGGTAGGGCCAATCCAAGATCTGTACTCCTATCCCCACACCCAACGGCCGCCTGGGTCTGCTCGTCTGCTCCAAGAGATGGACTGTTTGCCTGCTCCAGTCCAGAACAGGTGGGCGACGAATTCTAGGGCTGGTGTTCACTACACGCCTGTGCCAAAGTGACCGAGACCCCACATCACCACCCTTCTGAACCACACACGCAGCCCAGACACCTCTCACCGGACAGTGTTGACCAGAAGGAACACGCTGTTATCCTCCGCCCACCAGGGGGCGCGTCTTCAGCACGGCGCATGCGCTTCCCCAGCTTCAGGAGGCGTCCTGTGCTCTCGCTGTCTTCCGCCTCGGTTGATCTTCCGGCGCGAAGGTCACGGACAAGATGGTGCCCCCTGTTCAGGTCTCTCCGCTCATCAAGGTGAGTCGGCCTCACGGTCGCTGCGCCTTGCTCGGAGCCCCAGCATGCCCCCTCTCCACTGCCCCGGATTAGCATTGCCCACCTCGAGGTTACCGCTGTGGTCTCGAAGCAGTCCTTGCCCTGGCGACCCGTGCACCCCCAACTCCCGTCCTCCCCTTCTACCCATCCTCATCTATCTCCGACCCCTGCCATCCCCCGGTCCCCGCTTAGTGAACCTTCTGCTTTGCCGTTTGGTTCTGCAGTTCGGCCGATACTCCGCCCTGATCCTCGGCATGGCCTACGGCGCCAAGCGCTACAGTGAGTTTGGGAGCCGGGAGTTTGGGATTGCGGGTGAGAGATACCTGGCTTTGTAGGACCGCTTGGGCCTGCAGCTCCTCGGGAGGGAGATGATGCTAGGCCCACAGGGGGCGGGGTGGGGGCGGGGGATGGAAGCAGCTACCCGGAGGTTCTGGAATCAGCTTTTTCACGGAGAAGAATTTTTAGGGAAGAAGCTAATTGCTTCCACTCCCCAGGTTACCTGAAACCTCGGGCAGAGGAGGAAAGGAGAATAGCAGCGGAGGAAAAGAAGCGACTAGATGAGCTGAAACGCATTGAGAGAGAACGGGCGGAAGGTATGGCATTTAGCCCTTACCCTACCCTGGGCTTTCTGGAAGTAGCTGCCTCTTAGTGGACGACCGGCTGTCTCTCATCTCGTTGCGTTTGTGGCTGGTGCTGTTCTCCGTGGAGCCCAGCGAAGTGTGGAGGCCATGTTGCCCCTTCTTTTTGGGGGCATCTGCAAATGGCACTTCCTTCAGAGAGGCTACTGCTCTTTGACCACTCTCTACTTCCTGCAGATTCTACTCAGATGGAAAGGGGAGTGGGAATGCAAGGGATGGCTTTAGTGACGAAGTTAGGTTCTCTTAGAGTCTGGATTGTTTAAAACTGAAATCCTCAAGTCCTTGTAATGTGGCCTGGAGTGTGCATAACGTGTGACACGGTCTCTTCTCACTTTTCAGCTGAAGATGACAGCATCTTGAAGTGATGCACCGGTGAGCTTGCCTTTCTCTCGTCGCTGAGGATGAATAAAGCTTTGCTCTATAATGCTCTGGCTTCCTTTTTTTATTGCTTTGGTTGTTTGCCTCTAAGTATCAGTTCCCTGGTTGTGTCCTGGTTTTTCCTCAGATAGGGACGGCGGGGGGGCGGGGGGGGGTTCAGAGGAATTAATGATGACCTAAGATACATACAGAGTGAAGCTCAGAAGATGTGAGTGTTGCGGGATATTTGACCACAGTGTGAACCCCGAGACTGTGTTATTTACTAGAAAAACCTGTTTTGAGTTATGGTGTGGCTCAGCCTTAGCACACTCCTTTAATCCAAGAGCTTTCTGCTTGAATATTGTAAACAGAATTAAAGTCAACCATTGTCAACAGTTGGAGCAAGCAACCAGTTGATAGGAAGTGAACATAGGATTATTAGGAAAAGAACAGGAAGAAGAAGAAGTCAGGAGGATGGATAGAGAGCTGCACAGGAAGTAGAATAGAGGGACCATCAGTTCGAAGGGGGTTGTTTGAGAAAGAGGGATTCCTTCTGGGATGTCCGCTCATGAGGACAGCTGGGTCCTTTCTCTGCCTTTCTGAACTAGCAGGCTTTCCCCCCAGCATCTCGAATGATTGAAATGTTTGAAAACAGCATGTGAATACAGAAGGGTGCAGTGGTAAGGCCAAGTTGGGACTCCTGGGGTGCCAGCGTAACAGTGGCCTTCACTCCTGGTTGCAGCTTGCTTGGCTCTGCTCTGGTGGCTTCTGCTTTGGTCAGCAGCTCAGGCCCTGTACAGGAGGACAGGTAGGTGTCATAATAGCATGGGTTTTCTGTTCCAACTCACAATTCTCTGGGTCTTGGAACGTGACCTAAAGCTGAGCTATTGAAGTAGATTGTCCCTCCTCATCGGACAACTGGGTTCCTGTATGCCGACAATGGTAGGCTAGTTAATCACCTGGGAAGAGGGAACCTCAGTTGAGGAACTGTCTAACAGATTGGCTTGTGGGCATATCTGAAGGATATTTTTTTAGTTGATGGTTAACGGAGTGTCCAGCACACTCTGGCTGGTTCAACCCCTGGGCAGATGTTCCTGGGTTGTTAAGAAAGCAAGCTGAGAACTGGGCATGGTAGCTCATGCCTTTACTCCCAGCATGGAGGCAGAGGCCAGTGGATCTCTGAGTTCAAGGCCAGGCTGTCCTACAAATCCAGGACAGCCAGGGCTGTGTTACACAGAGAAATCCTGTCCTAACCAAACAAAGGAAGCAGAACAAGCCAGTAAGCAGATTTTTTTTTTTTATATGATTCCTGCTTCTGCTCCTGCTTGAGTTTCTGTCCTGACTTTCCTTAGTGACAGACCATGATGGAGACATGTAAACCAAATAAGCCCTTTACCCCTGAGTTACTCTTGGTCTCAATAGTCCTGCAAACTAGAAGTGTTACTGCTTCTTCAGTTTTATCCCTTGACATTTTCTAGGTTTAGAGCCGTTTTTAAATTTTTTTTTAAGGTGAGGTGACCTACAGACGTAACAGAAGCGGCCTTATATTTGGTTTTAGAGACTGAGTGAGAAGCTTTTTCCTGCCACTCCCCGTAAGTTGTATCCCACTGTTTGGGATCTGAGGGTTAAATGTGCTCCCACCACCTCATGCTAAAGGCAAACTGCTGGATGTATTCTCGTCCCAGGAATGGCCCCTCCAGTCAGGAGAACACATTCACTGGGATTCCTATGAATTTGTTCTCTGCCAGACAGTGCACATTTCAAAGGTTAGTGTTAGGAGGGCCCGTTGCGCTTCCTCTGCTTTACCTTCCAGGCTCTGTACAGCGTGAACAAAGCTGCTGGCCGCCTCCTTCGTTAGGGTCCCATCCAGGCATTCAGTACAGGTTATTTCCATGCAGGCAGCTTCCATTTCATCTCGGCTCTGCTCACAGCCTTGACCCCGCAGAATTTCTCAGTGCGTCAGATATGGTGTGCCCCCAGATGATGCCAGCTTGTGTAAAACTGGCAAGTTATTGTCTCTTCTGACTTTCTGCCACATGTTTAAACTAAAGCAGATGGGACTGAATACCTATGTACAAGGGTAGAGCTCTGATTCCAGGTACAATTCATAGATCCTTTATAAAGATCTCTGTGGGCACTTTATCAAACCAGATGAATACACCAGTTAACTTATTCATAGTTGGCTTTAATTTGTAAAAACACCTTTAAAATTTCAGAATATCCAAAGTTAGGTTTGATCATTTTTTTTTTTTTTTTCTGTTTCTAATGTCTTATACCAAACTGCTATAGGCAGAGTCCATGTCCAGTGGTGAGTGGCAGGAGGTACCGGAAGCCACTAGATAGGGTTTACAGGATACAGCAGGTTGATGACTTGGGTGCTGGACCACCATTGCAAATTTCTGTGCCCACTGCAAGAGAAGATAGACTGTGAGTGGTGGCTTGTGCTGCCATCTATACCCAGTGTCTTCTATCAGCTCCTGTAGGTTCTCCCTGCAGGGGCTGAACTAGGTCTGTGGCCAACCTAAGCTGATTATGCTCAGCCTTGCTTAGTGCTTGAGCCTCTGCGGTCACTATGCCCTGATTAGCTTTAGCCCTGACCTCCCATGACCCAGAAGCTGTCTTATTCAATGTGGTCTCACAGTGGCCCTGGAAACCCCAGGTCCAGGGTAAACAAATGGTAAACAAACCCTGGAAAAGATAAGATGGCTTCTGATCTGGAGATACAGGGTAAGCTATGCCAACTTAACTCTTGCTTAGCTTGCTAATTTTGCTTTTGCCTTTTTGTTGTGGTTCAGGTTTTCTCTTGCTTCTGAGGATAGTTGGCGGGGTGGGGGAGGGGTGAGGTGGTGATTTCAGGCATGTGCTATCACACCTGGTAAGAACTACTACTTAGTGGATCAAAAGGCCTAATAATTCAGTAAGCTTACTTCCCCTGTATAGGAATATCTTAGCAAATGTTTCAGTGAGAGCATTTCAGTCCAGTCTGTGGTCTACAGCCATGCCCCATGAGGGACAGGGTAGATGGATGGGACTCTCAGCCTCAGCTGTCAGGCTGTCTCAGTTAGCTGCCTTTCTGATTGCATGGTGGTTCTCTACCATATTACAGCATTGACTTAGGGGTTAACTATGAGCTCATCCTGGTCCTCTGATCAGCCCAGACCTTTCTTGGCTGCTATTCTGTCTTCTTCCTTCTTCTTTTCTTCCTCCAGGGCCTTGACTTTGGCCTCATACTCATCAGCTAGAGCTTTCCACTCCTTTCTGTTATTTTGCAGTCGGTCAAACATGGGCAGGATCTCTTCATGAAACCGAGAAAATTCCTAGAAGGAACTGAGAAGTCACTCGCTGCTCCACAGCCCCTGAAGGACTCAGATGGCAGCTCTTCAAGGCCTGCAGTTTCCCTACCACCAGACTCACCGGCCTGCGGATGCTCGAGAATCAAGGAGCTATATTTTGGCTATAGGATTCTGATATCTAGCATATTTTATTTTAAAAGCCACAGGGACAGTGAAGTGAAGCCACCCTTCCCCCTCCCACCCCCCAGCACTGTGCTTGTAAGATGACCACTCTTAGCACTGGTCACTGGGCTGCAAAGACTGACCCCTAGATCACACGATCTGTGGCTCTGCAACACAGCACAGGCCCAGCGTGAGCTTGATTTCCTACCCTTAGCCTATTATATACACTTGGGGCTGGCCCCAGGCAGTATCAGCTTTAGTTGATCACCATGGGAGAGAATCACTAAGATGTTCCCTTTCCAGAAAACCTCTAAGGAGGAGGTCAGGATAGGAATGAGAGGGAGCTCTTGGATGAATTTATGATACAGTACTAGCAGCATGCGCATCCTGAAAGAAGAGCAGAGAATGTCACCTGCAGGAGGTTTGGAAGCTGCAGGCCCTACAGCTGCCTTCAGGTGATGTTACTGTGTGGAGGAAGACAGTGTGGGTGTCTGTTACCACTGGGTGCGCCAGAGTGCTGTGGGGCCTGGGTGTCGTGTACATCACGTGAGGACACTGCAGTCAGGCCTATGTTGTGAGTCTCCAAGTTCCTGTCTCATGTCCTATGATCAAATACCAGAACTCAAAGACTTGGCAGTGCCAAGCTAGTGGGAACATACTTGGTGCTTCTGAGGGACAGCCATCAATTTTGGGACAAACCATTGGCTGGGCAGGTTGAGATGGGTGTTGTGCTGGTCTCCCTATCTACCCTATTGGATAAGGGTGGAGACCACCCAGATGTCTCTATAAGGCCCCTGCTGGGTCTGCCCACCCCCTACTCATTCTTGGCCAGCCCACCCCAGGCAACACAGAACACTTCTGCTGCGCACCTTGTACACGAAAGTACACACAAAGTCGATGAAGCCAACTTGCAGCTTGGGGAGCTCAGCTGCTTTGTTCCGGTCCATCATGGGCTTGTGAAAGAAACAAAGGCAGATGACATGGCGCTGCCTCTCCCTAGGAGCCTGCTATCTGGCAAAGGCCTCTTACTTGCTGAGTCTGTACCTTGTCTAAGACCTGCTCCAAACAGTTCTTTACATTAGCTAGAGCTGGCTCGGAAGTAAGTGGTCAAAACAACCCTCTGTGGGTCCCAGTTCCTATGGAGGTAGATCCCATCCCTGGTTGGCAGTGGGTCCTGCCCCTAACCATGACTGCCTCATTGTCTATCTTGCCAGGGACTACTACCTCTACTTCTCCCCCCGTCCCCTAGGGCTGCCCTTCTCAGAGTTGCCCTCCCTGAACTGCCCTGCCTAGTAAATGCTCTCCGCGCCAGCGCAGACCCTAGGTGCTCTTGCTTGTGTGCTACAACCTGCATCTTGAGATTTTTCATAACTTCTACAAGATGCCAAATTCCCCACAGTCATGCTGAAGGACCCCACAAATCAAGATTAAGACTCTAGGACCTAAAGTCCCTGAGGCCTGGAACACTACCAAGCGCTCTGACCATATGTCAGGATGGAAGACTCTGGGAGCAACACTCACAATGGGTTGTTGATCCAAGACAGTCCTCTCCAAGTCTCCTTGTTCCCAGAACTCAGCAGCCACCAGAAGTGCGACCTGAGCACACACAGAGGTTAGAGGGGGCTCTATGTTGAGGAGCAGCAGCCCCCCCCCCCACGTGAGGCTCTGCAGGTAGTGTTCATATGGTGCCTTTCACTGCTGTACCCAGGCATTACTTCAAAAATTAACACCATCTCCCTGTAGTTCTCAAGGTGCAAAACCAGGGTGGCCTGTAAAGGGGTACTCTGGGGTCAGACGGCCATCAGTCCTGACCTTGCTCTGGACTTCCCAAGGCTTGGTGATAGCAGACAGGTCACATGCTGTCATCATCATGGCCCTGTGGACAGACAGAGCTGACTATGTGTTCTTCTGAGCAGAGAGTGAACACGTTTTCTCAGTAGTTCTGGGAGACAGTCCTAGGGAAGGTGCTGGTCCTGAGTTACCCATCTTGCAGGTGAAGAAGGAGAAGTGAAGGAGAAGCAAGTGATAATGCCGGGCTCTAAGGAAGGCTGTCTGAATTCCGCGCTGATGCCCATGGATCTCAGGACAGACTGAGAGAGTGCCTTCATTCAGTCTCTAGAGAACTACTCTTGTTCTGGAGTCTCCTGTCCCTGGGGTTATGGAGGTGGGCAGGGACTGGCCAACAGTGGGCCATCTCCTTACATGACAATCTCCTTCCGAGTTGTCTCTAGGGAGAGGTACTCAATCCAGCTCTTCTTATCTTCATAGTTCTTGGACTCATCCACGATCTTCTGGAACATTGTTCTCTTCCTGGTCCCAAGAAGAAGGGGAGGAGTCAGTGACAGACTGGTCACAGCGATCTTTGCATGAGGCCCTGCCCACACCTCCTGCCTCTGGCGCACTCTTACTTGAAGTAGAGGGCCAGGTCAGTGGCGATGATGGCGATGTCCATGAGGTGAATCACATGCTCGTGCTGCCGCCGGTTCAGGTTCTGGTAGATGTTCAGGCTCTGTGGGGACCAGCAGTTGGTGTCTTTGCCCATTTCCGCGATCTGTTGTACCCTCTAGTGGCTATTCCTGGCTACTGCCGTCCTGAAAGCAGTGCCCCCGACCTCCCCCCTCCCCGTGTGGGAGCATCTACAGATGGGATACTCCAGCCATACTGCCCAGTGCCTGCTGTTTGTCTGCCACCGCCCAGAGGAGAACCAGCATCAAATCAGGAACAAACCTCCTCTGCCAACAGAAACTTCCCAAATTCCAGGTGGTGCCTTTCCAGAATTGAGGAGCCATGTAACTTGGCTAGAGGGTTCTGGGATCTGTTGTGAATTTTATTTAAAAAGAAAACACACCAAAATGTTAGAAAGCAGTAGAATGAGCTTTCTGGCCCATCTGGCCTATGCCTTCAAGGTGTCCCATCTCAGTACTGATTGGCAGACCGCGGACCCTAAGGGCACATGATTTATGGTTTACCATGCCCTCCCCAGGCCTGCCCTCCCCACAGCCTACTTCATCTGGTACAGGTTGTTGGTGCCGCGATGGTCGATGTCGTGGCACAGGCCAGCTGTCACCATGGCGAAGGACTCCAGGTCTGTGTAATAGCTCTTCAGTTTGCCTGTCTGTGGAGATAGGTCCAGTCCTGGGGCCTGCCTCTGGCCCAGTGTTCTGGCTCCAGAGGGCAGGGGTTAAAGGGGAGGCGGGGCTGGCCCAAACCTATCTTTTTGCCCCTGCTAGTCTCCTCCACCCAGTGCTGGGACTGGGAAAGCACAATGGGCACTTTTGAGCCGGAAGGAAGTGAGCTGTGGTCTTTGGCCCAGCCCTGTGGGTCACCTTGCCCTGTCCCATTTCTATACATACCATGAGTAGCGTAAACATGGTCTGGGCTACATTGAAGCCATGGCGCCAGTTGTGGTAGGTGATTCTTCGATAGGCTTTGCTGACAGAGAATAGGAACCGCACCAGGACCTGGGGGAGTGGAGGACATGTGGGCTCTGGAGGCCACACGAGTCTAGACAACACCACATGAGGGTCCAACCCCAGTCTCTCATGCTGCCTGCAGCAGAACTTGTCATGGCCATTTCCCTACTTCTGTCTTGTTGGCCTCAGAGCCCTTGCTCCTTGTTCCCATTGGCCTCTTCCCATTGGGAAGAGCTCTCACACAGTAGAGCTAAGAACAGCTCCCACCATTGAAAATTTGATGACTATTCCCATGGTCCAGAGCCACAATGGGAAGAGGATCGCTGGGATATGAGATATTTTGAGAATCCCGAGAAAAACAAAAAACAAAAACCAACCAACCAACCAAACAAACAACCAAAAAAAACCCCATCCGTTTTAGGCCTGAATGTTTGACTGGGTAAGATATGTGGCCTGCGAGCAGAAAGGGGGGACACCTGGACATTTTCTTCAGGTAATAGAATGCAGGCTAAGGGAGCCCTTTACTACTTCCATCATGATATTTAGGGTCAAATATTTTTATTCATTTACTGTTTTTAATTTTTTTTCTGTTCTGTTTTCCTTAGGAACACCAGCCTGTCGCTCCTGCTTTCTGAGGAGTATGAGAGATTATTCATTATTCATGCAGGCTGTGCAGACACAGGTATGGAGGAAGATGCAGGGCAGAGTGATAAACCCATGGGGAGAGCAGAGTGGCAGGGCTCTGAGCTCTTCCCTTCCTCCCATTGGTGTGCCCTGAGAGGCTCCTGTAGGCAAACCTAAAAAAATGCTAAGTGTTTTCTATTCTGGAAAGCAACTGTTGAAATTTCCTCAGGATCCTATGACAAGCTCCCTATTTCTCTATGATGTCCTAATAAAAATGTTGTTTGGAATACTTAGTAACAGACTTTCCATCCATCCATCCATCCATCCATCCATCCATCCATCCATCCATCCACCCGTCTATCCATCCACCCACCCACCCATCCATGCACCTACCCACCCATCCATCTACCCATCTACCCATCCACCCCATCCACCCATCCATTCACCCGTCTATCCATCCATCCACCCACCCACCTATCCATCCACCCATCCACCCACCCATCCACCCACCCATCCATCCATCCACCCATCCAGCCACCCATTCATCTATCTATCTATCCACCCACCCACCCACCCATCCATTCATCCACCCTTCACTTATTTTAAGTCTATTTACCGAGTGTACTTCACTGGTTCTGTGATACATGTGTTTGTCATCAACATTCTCTGTGGAACTCAGGAGCACCCTCCCCCATCTTTGGGGGATACGTAACCCTCTTAGGGGATATGCAACCCTTAACCACCCCTCCATCTCCTCTTATTCTGGACCCTCCAACCATATCTTCTCACCTCCTGGGGGATCTGGAACTTGCAGACCACACCCAGCTCATAGTACATCTGGATGCCACATTTGACTAGCTCCAGCTCAGTACACTCCAGGTCAGAGAAGTGGAACTCATAGATGCCAAACTTGGTAGGCCCTGGAAGTTCTTCCTTCTGTAAAAGACTGTGGGCTGAGGGAAGCAGGCCTACTACATCCCCACTGGTTCTTAAGCTTTCTTTTCTCTGGACCCTTGTCCAGACATACACCTAGAAATCTCTGGTGATGTCTGCCTTCTACTTACTCAAATTTATAGCTAGGTCACTCATATTGTCCCAACCTATCTTATCCGACTGTTTCCTCCCACCAGGTGACCTGACAGTGAGATGCTTGCCTGGCTTTGTAGCAGTGATGTTGAAAAACAAACCATAAAGATGTATGCACAAAAAGTTACAGAGGCACACACATGGATTCAGACTACCCATATGGATGCAGAGGCACAGATGTACACACTTGCAACACTCAAAGCCAGTGTTGTTTAGAACTCATTGATGCTAATAAACTCCAAAACTGTTCAGTAGGACGAACAGCTCTGGTGATTCTGAAAAATCCCACAGGTGACAGAAAAAGGTAGGTGTCCCATAACTCTCAAGTTGATGTTGGGGTTTCTTTGGGAGACACACAAACATGTGTCTACACGCATGCCTACACATACATTAGGCACACTCAAGTACACACAGAAGAATGGACATCACCCGAATATAGAAACATCTAAACTAGGGACTGCAGCACAGGTGGACACTTGGCCCAAGTTGTCCCTGCAGAAGGTAAACATGGGTAGTTCTGGGAAACACAGAGGAGACAGGAAAGCAGGCAGAGACACTCAGCAGGGCAGAGAGCGAGGAAACTCCAGCTGGACACTCGTGGAGCCAGTACCGTGACCAGTACTGCTCTCCAGTACTGCTGGAGAGCGTTGACATGCCTACACATGAGAGAGTGCTGTGTGTGCCCGGGCTCTCTCTGCCGCTCATGAGAGCAGCTTGTGTCCACTGGAAGCAGATTCTCACCAGGATTTTCCCCAGCTCATCCTCCTCGCAGTCAGCGGGCTCTTTCCCCAGGCGCTCCCGTGTTGGCTAGGAGAGAGCAGCAGGTGAGCTGCGGGACTGAGTGATGGTGTCACTTCCGCCTATGTGACAGAGCAGCAGCATCGCCTACACCCGAGTGGTAGGCTGAAAACCTCACCCTCACCCCAGGAGTGGGAGAGTGACAGCAACACGTGCATTCCACAAATGTAACACGGCGACTTCATTGCCCCCCCCCCCCCCCGCCGGGACAGGATGATAGCACCATCTTCACCCTGTGACTGTGACTGAGGGACTATTAACCTTCACACCAGTGTACAGAATAGCAGTGCCATGCCCACCCATAAGTGTGTCAGTGGTGGTATCACCTTTACCCACGTGACAATGACAACATCATTTTCTACTCTGAATGTAATAGAATGATGGCGTGCCATCAACAAATGTGTTGGACACAGGGATCCTGATCATTGAAGGGCAGCGGTTTCCCTGTGCTCAGACATTGTCCATTCCAGACACAGGTGGTAAGTTCCTGCTGACCCCGACTTTCCTTCCTTTCCCTGTGCTGTCCTTAGTGACACACCTGGATTCTAGATGGACTAGTGAGATGGAAGGCTCTAGTACACATGCTCACTGCTGAGAATGAGGCACAGGGACAGTGTCTGGGCTGTACAGTGTGTAGCATCAGGGTTAGACCTAGCCATTGGGCCCCAGGGATAGGTCCTTATCACCGAGCTCCCTGCCTCCCCTAGACACAGGGGCCCCATAGCATGCCAGGTACAGTACCAAGATCGTCTGGATTTCGTCTTTGTCGCATCTCACATGGTACAGAACCATGTCCTGGGCGATGTCCTTACGGTTCTCCAGCTTGTTCATCTTGTCGTAAGTGTCTGTGTTGAGCACTGACCATCCCAGGAACTGTGTCAGGGACTGAAGGGAGGCAGCGCTGTAAGTCCGTTGGCCATGCGCTCCCGTGAGTGCTAACTATGTGCTCCACCCACGGCTCTCAATGAGGCCCCAGAGCTAGAACTTTAGGAACTACCCTTGTTCAGCTGTGTGTGGAGGGACAATGCTCACCAGGATGGATGAACCCCCCTTGTCCACAGAGGTCACAGGGTTTTTACCTCCATGAGAACCTCATCCTGATCGTCGAAGGGCTTCCCGTCTTTCCTGTTGTAGAAGGTTGCCACGCCCACAATCTCCTCCTTCTTGTTGACAATGGGCATGGAGAGAACATTCTTGATCATCCACCCAGAATCGTCCAGGGGCCCCTCCTATGGGGAGCAGAGAAAGGCTGCTGAGGGCTTGGTGCCTGGGAGCAGGGCAGACCTCATTTTTTCTGTCCTCAAGCCATGCTGATAGCTTGAATGCAATCTCTTCACTCTCACTTGTCTGTAAAGTTTATGGTCATGGGATCCGTGTCATAATTTTCTGGGCTGAAGGAGGCTATTGGCTTCCTGGGTGTGTAAGCCCTCTAGTCCCCAGGAATGCTTCCAGAAGTACTGAGAAGCCTTGCTCTTAAGCACTTACTAACTGCTCAACAGATAGACCCACATTTCCATCTTATGCTGGACTTTGAACACTATGTAGTTGGCTCATTCTGTTTTCCAATATGAAATACGGATAATACTTTTTTGGCCAGCTCCTGCATGAGACTGTTAGTGATGTTCCTGCTCACATGACCTCTTTCAAGAAAGCACTATGTGGCCCGAGGCATGTTTGTCCAAACACCTGAAGAAGACAAGTGAGCAGAGACCCTCTAAACACTCCTACTCCAGCCCAGAAAGGTTCAGCTAGACAGGTGTAATCAAGAGATAGAAAATAAAGTTCCGCTGAATCCTGCCAAAATTGACTGAGCCCACAGATTATCTGACCTCTGCTGAACACAGTGAAGACCAACTTAACCCAGATGAACCCAGAGAAGATAACCAAGACCAGCCTGATCATCTGACAGGATCCACTTAGCCCAGAGAAGCTAGCCAAGATCAGCTGAGATGAGATAAGGTCAGCTGAGACTAGACAAGATCACCTGAGTCTAACTGAGCCCACATAACACCAGCTCAGCTGTAGAAAAAAGCACAGGCACATGGATCTTACACGGTTTCTCAGTCACTGGGGCTTTTAGTTTTCCTCTGCTTTTTGAGACAGAATCTCACTCTTTAGCCCAGGTTGGCCTTGGGATAACTCGTAGCAATCCTTCTGCCTTAGCCTTCTGAGTGCTGGGATTACAGGTGTGGGTGAAGCTGTTTTATGTATTTATAACATAGACACACAGGTATGGCCGCGTGTGCATGCAGAGGTCCATGCTCCGTGTTTTCCTCTATTGCTTGCCATTTTATTTTCTGAGATAGTAAAACAGGAGCTCACGGATTGGTTAGATTAGCTAGCCACTAAGCCCCCAGAATCATCTTGTCTTGCCTGCTTCTCATCACCCGACCTAGTACTTGGAGTGCAGGTACATGCTACCGCCCTGTTTTTTTGTTTGTTTGTTTGTTCTTGTTTTTGTTTTGTTTTTTATCATGGAGATCTTAACTCAGATTTTACACTTTCATAGAAAACACTTTTAGCCCCACAAAGTTGTTCCTTAAGTGGAAAAACCTAATTCAGCCTATCATTTCTGAAACAAAATATCCTCTTTTCTAGCAACATGTGGTTTCTATCAGTGAGTAGGCGGATTACCTGAAACTTGAACATTTCATCAGCTGAAGCATTCATGATGTTACAGATCTGGAAAGGATGAGACGCAACTTCACTCTGAGCACGTGGACACACAGCACAAGCTCTAGCCTACTTAGCCTGGCCTATAAAAGAGGGTGCGTCTAACTGGGCAAGGTGAGCAGCAGCCAGCAGGAAGGGCTAACAGGAGGCAGCAGGCCAGCAGGCATTGCAGCAGCAAGCACAGGCCAAGGCCTGAAGAGGCGCACTTACAAAGCCGCTTTCTGCTACATAGGTTGGAAGACCACTGGCCAGGGCCCAGTGGTCAGCCGGGGGTGTGCTGTGGGAAAAGAACATATGTTAGAGGAATAGATACTTGGATTGTTAGATGAAACAGTTTCTGAGTTCACTTTAATCCCTTCTCTGAGCTCAGGTGGGAAGGGGCTAGGAAGCTGAAGAGGACTGGAGGAGGCCAGGGTGAGGTTCCTTCTATTCTGCCATGTTGGAACTCCTTGCAGGCTCTATCTACTGAGGCTCCTGACTTCAGCTGGCCTCTGGAGACTCAGGGTTGGCTACCTGCTGTTCAGTTTGATACCTGAATTCTGCTCCCTGCTTGGAGCCTGTTTGGGATGCTGACAGGCTTATAGGTTCATGAGGTCACTGGCCACATAAACAGAGGACCATTGTCCCTCTAGGCCAAATCTCTGTACTAGACTTCTCTTAGGGGTGTGATGGTGGTCTCATCCTCTGGAGGCTTCACCTGCCAAGGCTGAGATGGTGGAGTTGCTGCTGATAGGGCCTCAGCTCACCTGACTCTAGATATCCGCTTCAGATAGCTAAGTGCCTCAGGCTGCTCACCTCCCTGTTCATCTGCCCATGCTCCACCTCACTGTCCCTGCTGGCTCTACATAGAGGACCCAGAGATGGCCACTCCAGAGATTGGGTTTAGGGGTGGCCTATTCTGGGGTAAGACACCTGTCCTACCCCAGCACTTACGGAATGACTTTGATGTCCTCTTTGCCATGGAGGATATAATCAATGACTTTGTAGAAGACAATTTCCTGAGAAACAAAACATGTCAGTGCAGGGGTCCCTGCTCAAGTTCTTGGGGGAGTCTTTGTTTAAAGAAAACGAGAACAGCTCCCGCCCAGACATACCCAGGCACAAGATGCACATCCACACATGATACATTTACAGCAGCCGTGTAATCATGTATTCGTGTGTGCATGCATGTGCACACGTGTGTGTTGTGTATGTCCATTTAACTTCATACCAACGGGGCCCATACTCTGCACATACAGTAGAATTCATGTGCAAGCGTGTCACAATATTTACAGGAGCTCTGGCAAACTAAAGCAGATCTAGAGAACCCGCCTTCACTGGGGCAGTGCAGGCCAATGAGGACAGATAGGTGCTTGAGGCTCCACTATTTCCTCCTCCTCTTCATGGAATTAGATCCAGTGTAGCGAGATTGGGGGGTGGCTGCCACCCATCAGCTTGGCTTACCCGGCCATCGGGTGTCCGTGGGCCTGAATACGGCTGGGCTTCTCCCATCAGCACAGGCCACACATCAAAGAATTCCTGGGAAGAGAAAAGAGAAGGGAGCAGTCAGCCTGTGAGCTGGGTCATGCTGGGGAGGAGGCTCTTGAGAGTTTGAGACCTTACCTTCTCTTTGGTCATGTCCAGGAGGCCCACCGAGTACCGGTCACAGTTTAGATAGGCCCGGACAGTGTAGAAGGCCTTGTGGAACTGCCTTTCAATGTCTGTCAGCTCTTCAAACACCTTATTGGCCGACCAGAGAAGTACCTGGAGGGGAGCACACATGTTGGCCTGTGGCCACACTTCTCTGACCTCAGAAGCTCTGGGGTCTGCTCGGACTTAGTACCACAAACACTTCACGCACAATTCCTGCGGTACCCAATCGGCCCTGAACCCAGAGGCACATTGACTGATGGTGGAACTCAGGGTTTTCTGTGAATACAGTCTTACCTGTGTCTTGACACACAGCGACCCTGAAACCCCCTGGTGGGCGAGTTCTTCAGGCTTGCTTAGGTGGCAGCCTGACACTTACTATCTAGTGCCGGCCACGTGCTCAGCGAATGAGCAAATGAGTGGAAACTGGAGTCATTGTGAGCCCAAAAGTCAAGGATCTAAGCAGCTGTTTTCATCTACTCTGTGGTGAGCCCAGGGATCGCTGTGGTTTTCAGTGTAAACATCAGACACTTGAGTGTCTCCGCAGGGTGAATTTGTCTTTTTTAAAAAGATATTTATTTATTTCATCTATATGAACACTGTTTTCATACACAGCAGAAGAGGGAATCAGATTCCATTAAAGATGGTTGAAAGCCACCACATGGTTGCTGGGAATTGAACTCAGGTCCTCTGGAAGAGCAGACAGTGCTCTTGACTGCTGAGCCATCTTTCCAACCCAAGCAGGGTGAATTTGAAAGTGACTGTTTTGTTAATACCCATAAGTCCTTGGCCAGACCAGTTTCAGGAGGCTCTTTCTACAAGTCTAGGCCATGGTTCCCAAACACAAGTCTGTGGAATGTATCTCACCAGCCCAGTCAGTCCTCAGACTCACAGTGAGCCTGGTCCATAGCAGAGTCCCTTCTCCATGGGCCTTCCTTGGTGGCTTCTTCCTGCTGGTTCTTCTTGGACCTGGTGAACTCATCTCCCCATAGCCCTTTCAATAGGAGGGAGCTCCTCCCAGTGCCCATCGTCCATGGGTGACACAGCCTCTGCTGCTGCAGAGGTACCCTATCAAGCCTTGAACGTTGGTCACTGGCTTCCAGATGTTCACATGCTCACACTTAATGCTCTCCACACTACTTGCAGTTTCCCAGGAGATGTGAATATGGACACTCAGAGCTGTGTTTTCACCTTCACATCAGCAGCTCAGCCCTGGAAGTCTTAACCACAGTGCTCAGCCCTGCGACGCCAGTCCCTGCTGCCCCAGGCCACCTCTAACACTCTGGCACTGCTTCATTCATGGGTGATGTCTGGTCGCCCCTTAAACACATCAGCTGTCCTTCCTCACTACAAGCTGGGAGTGTGGCCACCATGCTTTGGTAGTCTTAGGACTGAAAGGAACATGAGCGCCTGTTCTTAGGATGTGGGGAGAGGAAGGGCAGTGACATTTGTTCTGTCTCAGAAAAATAACTGGCTGATTGTATGTGTGTCTACATCTGCCTCGTGTGTGTGTGTGTGTGTGTGTGTGTGTGTGTGTGTGTGTGTAAGAGAGAGAGAACATATGAGCCTGTGAGTGCGTATGTGTGACTGTGAGTGTAATGAGTGTTGAATATGAGTCTCCAATGTCTCTGTCCCATATATATTCCCTGAGCTTTATCTCCTGTGCAGCCAGGCCCAGCCCCTCACTGGTGTTCAGCGTGTTGGTTGTCCTGCTACAATAGGTAGACTCAGCCACATATTTGACTGTGGAGGCATATGAGTGTTGGTAGTTCAAACTATTCTCTCAGGAGCAGGGACAGAGTAAGAGAACTTTGTAAGTTGGACTCTGTTACTTGGTAAGCGTGTCCAAGGCTAGCCTCACTTGCTCTTGTGCCCTTTAGATATCTCCCACCACCTTCCCTTTGTGGCCCCGTTCTTCCAGCAATTAGGCTCTTTTGTGAATTCCATCATGTACCCAGTCGGGGAGACAGGTCCAACATCCTGAGGAAATGAAGGCCCAGAGGGGAAGAGCCATATCCAAGGTGGTCCTTCAGAGCCTTCTGTTCTTTTCTCCTTGTTTCCTTTTTTCTTTTTCTTCGTCTCTCCAGTGGCTTCTGGAATATACAGTAATCACAGGATGATCAAGCACCTGCCGTTGCCTGCGTCAGGCCCGGACCCAGGGTTGTTCCGCTGTAGCCAACATCATGGCTTGCGTGCCAGCCCGCCTGGCCTCTGGAGCGTCCTGTTGGCAGCCTCTGAATGTTGTTACCCTGGCTTCACACAGCATCCTTTCAGGGCGTGGCAGCATGCCGTGTCGGAGGACAGCGCTCCCTCAGAGGCTCTTCCTGTGGGAACAGCACTCAAACTCACCGCCTTTCTTGTCTTTCCTTGTTTTCTGTTCTGGTCTCTGCTCTTGAGATACTACTGGGAAGAATATGAAAACCATAGTTCTTTTCTTTCCCTTCTGGGTCTAGGCCATCATGGTGGGTACTCCAGACTGGCTCCCTCCTTCCTGAGTACTACCTCATGAACATTTCCCTTGCTTACAGCCCAGAAGTGCGAGGCCCTGAGAAGGCTCTGTGTCAGTAAGTCCTCCCTTCACATCTTTCGGATGACTCACCTATGTTTGCACCCCGGCCATGCAAACAATAGCTAGAGGCCATAGAGCTATGTCCACAGAGTCCTTGTCAGTCTTCAGTGCCGTGAGCAGAAAGCATTGCTCCACTGACCGACTGGGAACCAAGCAGCAGGTCGGAGAGAACTCCAGCATTTGGGGACCACCTACAGTTTTCTTATCTTCTGTTGGCTCAGATCGGTGTAACTGAGGTGCTTTTCAGAAAGGGATCTGACTAATGCTCAGAATTTCCAGGGTTTGGGGAACATGGCAGGGGAGAATCTGAAAAAAATGTTTTAGTGCTTACTGACCAGCATTCCTACCACACAGGGACAAGAATGACAATGTATCTTGGGCTAGGCTGCAGGCCCTTCAGAGCCAGTCTGTACTCAATTTTGAGATTTCTCTTCAGAAAGCAATGTGAGGGCTAGGGATGTGGCTCAGTGGTGGAGAACTTACCAAGCATGCATAAGGCTCTATTTCCAGCACCCCAAAATAAATAATCAAAGCCCAGAAAGAGCTGGGATGCAGGATTCTGCAAATGCTGGTTATAGTCTGGGCCTCAGGGCAGCATTTCTTATCTTCTCAAAGCCTTACTTTGTGGAGTTTTGGGGTCCTGGTAAGACTTTAGCACACAATAGGGCAATACAAGCAAGGCCCACTGACACATGGTAGACTTGGCTCTGAATGGCAGGCTAGAGTGCTGGTAGATCCCTTCCCTCCCTGAGAAAAGGGATGGGGGAACAGCGAAGGGTAAACCCTTTCAGACAGTGGTCGTGAGGAAAGAGGTGGGATGACTTTCCCCTAAGGCAGAGGATGTGCCTGGACATGTGGGCTGGATAGGTCAGAGGACCGGTGTGTAGGCTGCCCTTGCCTCAGGTTGGTCACTGCTGGATGGCTCTTCCAGCTTTGATGAATGACACTGGCCCTTGGGTGTTTCTGGGCTCAGACAACGAGCTCTTAGTAGGCTATGTCTACCATGTTACATGTATGTTTTGCTAGTATGGCATAAGTCGAAACCAAACACCCCACTCCAAACAAAAACAAAACCTAGAAAACAATAACAAAAAGCAAAAAACGACAGCTGAAGAAACACTATGGCTCAACTGTGTTCTCCCAAATCCCCAAGTTGAGTCCAAAGGTACCAGGAGGACTTCATGAGACTTGAGCAGAAGCTGTCACCATGCCTTTGAACCTCCACAGTTGAGCTAAATCTCTTTTCATTGTTAAATGCCTAGCTTCAGGTGATTTGATATAGCAGCAGAAAACGAGCCAATATTTGTTTTATAGCTGATCAGTCAGAAACTCAGATAACAGACTAGAATTTGGCATTTGCACGAGAAGTGGGACGGTCTTTGGGACTGAGCCCTCAGCTGGTGGATCTGACTGTTTCTGAGTAGACAGTGTCAGAGTCGAGCTGATTCAGAACTCTGCTGATGACTGCTGCAGAAGTGACGGCTTGCTTGGGGTGTGGGTGAAATCCTCCACATAGCAAGGGCTCACAGAAGCACTGTGTGTTGTGAGAGAGGCTGGGTTTGATTTTCTTTTCTTCTGTGTCTCAGAATGGGGCATACTGCCTAACATGCTCTCTGCGGCCAGCACTACCCAGATAGCAAAGTCAGATAAAAACCTCTCAAGACTAGGGCTGGAGAGATGGCTCAGTGGTTGAAAGCACACACCATTGTAGAGGACTTAAATTCTTTCCTAGCACCCACATCAGGTAGTTCATAACTACTTATAATTCCAGATCAGGAAATCTAACACTTCTGGCCTGTTCAGGCAAATGTACATTGAACACATTACAACTTGCATATAATACAAAATAGTATAAATCTATTTTAAAAAGACATCATCAGAAAGAAAAACTGTTTATCCACATGGCTCATTAACATAGATACAAAAATTTTTCCTTTTCTTTTTGAGACAGGGCCTCTCTACATAACCCTGCCTGTCCTGGAGCACACTCTGTAGACCAGGCTGGCCTTGAAATTATAAAAATCCACTGCCTCTGCCTCCCAGGTGCTGTGGTTAAGGTGTGCAGCATCATGCATAGATAAAAAAAATTCTTAACAGAACATTGGCAAAACTCCCATGCATGCTAGTGTGCACCTGTACTTCCAGCAGGTGGGAGGTAGGAGCTGCATAGCAAGTCACTGTCTCAGAAAAAAAAAATATATTGGCTGGGTGCGGTGGCACTCAGGGAGGCAGCGGCAGACTGATCTTTGCGAGTTTGAGGCCAGCCTGGTCTACAAACTGAGTCCAGGACAGCCAAGGCTACACAGAGACACCCTGTCTCAAAGAAATAAAAACGAAAAAATATTGACACACCAGTCTAATGATGTAATAATAATGTGTCATTAATTTTTTATCCCAGTTATCATTACATTGCTTACCAAATAATCACACCCATGACCAATATTAGGAAGCGCAGCTCAGCATTCCAGATTCAGTTCATTTAAACTAGGCATGGTGGTACGCATCACAGCCTGTCAGCAGACTACTGTAAGAGGATCTCGGAGGC